AGTCTTAGGCTGCCTAGGTGATAGGGGATCATCTTCAGGTTGGGGTATAAGATTTTGTGTTTACTAGTCAGCAGTGCCACGTGGGTGAAGTGAGTGGCCATCTGCATAGCCTGGTCTGCACGGCCAAGCCACGTGTCCTCTCCTCTCTGGCGACGTTTTCTGCTAAGAAACAGGCATGGGATCACACCAAAGCTATGTTTTCTGTAATTGTCAAGGTCCATATTGTTTTGTCTTACATTGCCAAGTAGATTCCTGACCTAGGGAGGAAAAAAATGACCTCCTCGGTATTGGAGCCACCACCTCATAAAGAATCACAAACCTCGGAAGGCAAAGAGACTCGAGCAAGACCACGTGAGCTGCCAGCAGCAGGAGAGGGAAGAGCACCCAAGGCCAGGCCAGCTCCACTGCACCTGCTGTGCCTGTCATCTCCCCTCAGGAGCTGCAGAGCTTACAATGAAATTAATTGCCACCCACTCAAGCCTGCTTCGAGGTTGGCCAGGCACGTCACCTCCATCTCTCCTTTATCACACCAGGGCTGCAGCCGGGGAGGAGCTCTTCTGAGGGGGGGGAGGGCGGGAGGCAGAGACTGGAAGGAAGGAAATGGAGAAACACTTGGGTGTGTTTTCTGAGTCGTATTTCACCTTTTCACTCTCATCGCTACTGAAGTGCAACAGAGCAGCCTTCTATGCATGCAACCATCTGTTAAAAGGTGGCCCTGGAATTTATGGTCCACATCACCCTAGTAGAGACTCTGCTGGTAAATGTTCCCCATGGCAAATGGAACAATAAGCAGGTGGCTGAGGAGAATGAGGGCAATAGAGAGAGGGCAGAGGGATGCAGAAGCAGAAGAGGGCTAGAGGCTCTTTCCTGAGTTTCTTTCTCCCCGATGGCCAAAGACCTGGCTCTTTCATCGGTGGGAGATGCATACCCCTCGTCTGCTGAGGGCAGCTAGAGGTGGGGAGGAGAGTACCATGGAAAGGGGTTATGGGGTGAACATTTAGAGCTAGAAGACACTGTCATACCAATGTTGACGTCCCTGTCCCTGAGCTTAAAAATGTCAGCGCAGTAAGGGCCTCGTCAGTCTTAGCTGCTCTGTATACTCTCCGAGACAACGATCAGATTGCCAGCATGGCAGAGAAGGAAGAGGAAAGGGGCTTGAGCAAGGGTTGGCAGGATCTTGATTCTTTCTCTATGGTCGGTGCTTGCATAGGAAGTGTTGGAAAGTCAAAAAATCTATAAGAAAATAAACAGACCTTTAAATCTGTCTGATTGTGTATTGAGCTTATCAGTGACCTCGGGGTGTTTTGCTTGGACCCATGGATAAGGTACATACTTTTACTGGTCAGCTTGGCTAGGATGTGGTGCCCAGTTGTTTGGTCAAACACCAGTCTACGTTTTGCTGTGAAGGTATTTTTCTTTTTAGATGTGATGAGCATTTAAATCAACAGACTTTGTGTAAAGCAGATTACCCTCCATAATGTAGTAACCATCCAATCAGTGAAGGTCTTAAGAGAAAAGACTGAGGTCCACGGAAAAGAGGGAGGAATTCTGCCTTCAGGCTACCCTCAGCCTCAAGACTGCAGCATCAACTCACAGGAACGTCCAGCCTGCTGAACTGCTCTGTGCACCTCAGATTTGCCAGCCCCACAATCGCATGAACCAATTCCTTAAGATAAATCAATCTCTCTCTCTCTCTCCCTTCTATTTCTTCCATTTCTCCGGAGAATCCTGACTAAAACAGGTACTAATGGAAAGAAAGAAAGAAAAATAATTTAAATGTCACACAATTGCAGACACCCTACACCAGCACTGCTTTTGAGGGAAGGCAGGGCTTGACATAAACCAACCGAAAACAAGAGGCTCTTTCATGTTTGAAACAGGATGCTGTAAGGAACAGACAGTGATCTTTCCTGACGTCCACAGCTGAGGAGCTACAAAGATCCCATCTGAAGTTCAAAGAATTGGAAGCTGCTGAAGCCAGCCGTGTCCCATCTGGCCACTGATTTATAAAGAAGGACTGAGAGGAAGGACTTTTGAAGGACTGAAGTATTTTTGAAGAGAGGTCCAATTATTTCCCTTCCGGAAACCAAGCTCCACAGAATCACTTGTCATTCTGGGGCGTCTGCCATAGACTGATGAGTTTTTCCCCAGCTGGATGTCTGCCTGGCTCTGACTTGCAGATCTGGCCCTGACACCAGTACCAGTGTGTGTCAGGTCGCTGGGATGAGAGCCCTGAGAGAGAGGGCATGGGGGCACAGCCAGACAAGGCGGGGTGAGGCACACCCCCTCATGTGCCTGGTTCTCAAGAGGTATAGAGGATGGGTCCGGCTCATTATTGCAGCCATGGGCCCCAGAGCGGGGCCACAGAGTGTAAATGAGATGGAGATACAAGCATTCTGGGCACTGTCATGGTGTGGGGCAAAGAGAACATGGCATGAGGCATCACACAACCAAGGGTTAGCAAGCTCCCCTGTGGGCACTAATTTAGGGAGGCGTCTCTTTTCACTCTCTTCTTCCATTCCTCAACACCAGAGGGGCAAGTGCAGGGATGCACTCTCCCCTCCAGGCCACGAGAGCCACGAGCCAAGCTTGCACCGTGATAAACACTTGACATATATTACGATGATTAGTAGTAGTATTTTTTCCCCCTTACAGAGTGGCATCTGAGGCACAGAGAATTAAAAAATCTGGTCAAGGTCACACAGCTGAGAGCAGGAGCTGGACTCCCAACCCCAGGCATTCAGAATGCAGAGCCCAGTGTTGTTTTTGTTTTGTTTTGTTTTCTTTTCTTTTGCGGTACGCAGGCCTCTCACTGTTGTGGCCTCTCCCGTTGCAGAGCACAGGCTCCCTACGCGCAGGCTCAGCGGCCACGGCTCACGGGCCCAGCCGCTCCGTGGCATGTGGGATCTTCCCGGACCGGGGCACGAACCCATGTCCCCTGCATCGGCAGGCGGACTCTCAACCACTGCGCCACCAGCGAAGCCCCAAGCCCAGGGTTTTGACCTAAACTATATTGAATATGAAATTTATTTTTCAGTTATAGAACCCTAGTTATCATTATTCAATATCTCAAGATGGACCAGTAGATAAGTCAGGAGGCACCATGAAATACAATTTTCCAGAGGGTCAGAGTCTTTCTAAATACATAGAAAAAAGGAACAAGGCCAGTCACACAGACAGGCACACACACAGGATGTGAGTGTGAGGTCTAAAAAAACCTTGTGAATCTTAGAAAAACAATTTAGCCACTGAGTTGGTGAGGCTAAATCTGTTATACAAATATAAAGTGACATTGACGAGGCTGAGGGAATGTCCTTTTACATTCTACCTTCACCAGTTTCTAATCCTTGCTTCATTCCTTGTACTTTTCTGCCATGAGAGCCTGTATTCTGAGAGTGGAGAGCTGCGCTGGGCGAAAGGGAAGGGTAGCGTCCAATGTCCTGGCATTCTCAGGTGGACGTCTGGCTTCTGAGTCCCACACAGGAAACTTCGTCGTTGGGAAATTTGCTGATGTAAACACAGACTGACAGGGGAAAGATTTTTGTCTGAGAACTTTGTCCAAGTGAAATCTTAGGATCATGGGAGGGACTTTGGGAGGCATCTGGTCCATTGCTTCCCTGAAGCTCGGTCGGGCATCCAGCCCTAGAGATTCTCATGTTGTTGGTCTGAAGCAATCCCTGGAATTCATATTTTTAAAATGTTCCTCAGTTGATTCTCATGTGCTGTGAGCCTCTTTTAACACTTTTAACACTGCAACAACAACTACAATGTCCACTTTTGCTTGGTTCACTCTAGTGATGGGTTTCTCACTACTTCCTGGGGTAGCCCATTATGTTTTTGGACAGGGCTGATTGTTCAAAATCTTTTTCCTTAGTTTGGATAGAAATCCACATTTTGGTAGCTTCTACCTATTGGTCTTGGTGTGTTCCTTCCATCTGAGATGAATTATTCCTTTAACAGCAGCAGCTGTAGTCTCTGAAAGACTGTGGAAAGTCCTTCCTTGGTCTGTGATATGACCAACTTACCTCTGAGGGTTTACCTAGAGCTCTGCCTCAGAGTTTGTCTCCACATGGCCATCATTCATCCTTTGCCATCAGAAAGTTTTCACACTCTTTTCTGCGTATAAGCTTTATTCCTTAGACAACAGTAAACCTTGTTCCACGTCCCTTTCCACCTGAGCCCCAGTATCTGAGTCCTTAGTCCGGGCTGTGTCCCTGACCCACCCCCTGGCTAGTGGGGGAGTCTTAGTGACAGCATGATGACTTTTTAAACCCACTGGGATGTTCTCTTTCATATCAAGTGTGCTTTTGATCTTTGACATTCTGTTTTCTTTTCATATCACTTATTAGCTGTGGTTCTCAAATAGGAGTGATTTTGTCCCCCTAGGGGACATTTAGCAAAGTCTGAAGACACTTTTTGTTGTAACAACCTGTGTCTGTGTGGATGCTACTGGCATCTGCTGGTTAGTGACTAGGGTATGCTCAACCTACAATGCAGAGGACAGGCCCCAAGACAAAGCATTATCCACCCCCAAATGTCATTTGTACCAAGGCTGAAAACCCTAGCTTATTAGCATTAAAAAAGCAAAGACTTAAAAAAAAACAAAACAAAAGCAAAGAATGAAGGCAGGCAAGAGAAATGAGGAGTGATTGTGTGCAGCCTGCAGCTGAGGTTCCGGGCACTGCATCCTCAGAGAAACAAATGAGGAAATAACCCAGGCAAAGGCGAGGTTTCCAGGGCTCATGCGGAACCCTAACTATAAAGAAGCCAGAAAGGAGTCACATATATTTGCTCCCTGTAGCCTGGTTTTCCCCAAATGTGACATATTTCCCCCTCATGGTATGTAACAGAATTTTAAGATAAACATATTTAAGAAGAAAAGTGAATGTAATTACTTTGCTGCACAGGAGTAATTAACACAGCATTGTAAATCAACTATACTTCAATTTAAAAATGAGGTATTAAAAATCAAAAGAAAAGAAAGAAAAAAGTGAGTGGATTTAAAGAATATATTGATAACTGAACCGCTGGTACGGTGATATGGCAAAGATTGTAAAATGGTCGGTAAATGTCTGGGACAAGGCCGTTGCCTTGTAGGAAAAAAGAGTTGCTGGTGTGAAATGGAGCAAAGAGGAGTCAATATGCATCTTTGCTCTTAATGGGAAAGGGAAGGAGCTGCGATTTGGCAAGAGATGCAATAGAACTTACTGTTCATGGCGTTCATCTCAGCATAGTACTTGTTCCCACCCACGGACTTGCCAGACATAGTTCTGTAAATATACGTGGCCCCATCGAGCCACGTCCACTGTTGCCCCTGCAAATGACAGGAGACATGTACACATCAGCCTGCCCACCTGCTCACAGCCCAGACCCATGTAAAACATGGTTCTTATTGTAAAAACTGGGAAAGCACAGAAATGTGTAAAGACGGGAAAATAAGAAAGTCACTCCGTTTAATCTCTAGGAGGAAAACATTACTAATATTTTACTATATTTACTTTTGGTGCAACCATTTTTGTCTATCACAATATTTTTATAGACTGAAAAATGTGGTGGCCTTTAAAATATATATTCAATTGTGTAGCATCTTGCATTCCAAACATTTTTTAATGGTAAGAATGCACCATAATTTACCTTACTAATTCTCTTATTGATTGATGTTTACATTGTTTCCAATTTACAATTATTGCTAAGAATACTGCTATGAACCACTTTATTTGCAAAGCTGTTTCTGTACTTAAAATTATTCTTTAAAGCTAGCATCCCAGAAGTAGAATTAATGGCCAAAGGGTATGAATATTTTGAGGTTATTGATATTTATTGCCAAACTGCTTTCCAAAAACAGTTCAGTTGTAGGAATTTACATCCTCATTTACTGGGAAATTTCTCCTTGTCCTTAAAAATATTATTCATTAAGACAAAGCAAAAGTCTAATAATCTGATGTCAAATTATATTGTTATTCTAATTTGCATTTCTTTGATAACTAGAGACATTGCACAATTTGTTAGACTGTTTATTGGCCTCAGTCATGAAGGTAAAAAAATTAAATTACAAAAAAAATCTGGTAGAAATTGATGTAAGTATTTATCCTATCTCTGAATGAGAGAGCTCTGATTGATAGCAATGTGAATATATAAAAATGTAAAATTCGTTGTATAAAATATATGTAACATCTATGGCAAAGTTTATCAAGAAACAGAAAGTCTGGGGTTTTTCTCCTTGTATTCTTTGTGTTTTTTGGGGTTAACATAGAAGCCCCACAAAAAATCTGTAAACTGCAGATCCCACATAGAGACCTCAGCAACCTCACATGTCATTTCTTACTATGAGGTATTGAGGCGGGTAAAATGAGGGACCAGTGAAGAAAGTTCAGGATAACATAAAAAACATGATAGCATCTAGCAAAAAGCTTAGCTGAAAGTTTCCAACTTTAACTCAAGATCTAATAGGGGTTTAACTAAGCTTGGTCTCATAACGGGTCTGTGTGTGTGTGTGTTTATTTGTATATACCCGTATATAGTTACACAAACTTATTTATTTTATTTTTTTTTGCAGTACGCGGGTCTCTCACTGTTGTGGCCTCTCCCGTTGCCGAGCAACAGGCTCCGGACGCGCAGGCTCAGTGGCCGTGGCTCACAGGCCCAGCCGCCCTGTGGCATGTGGGATCTTCCCGGCCCGGGGCACGAACCCACATCCCCTGCATCGGCAGGCGGATTCTCAACCACTAGCGGCACCAGGGAAGCCCCACAAACTTCTTTTTAAAGGCTCTGAAGAGCTGGTGATTTTGTATTCAAAGATGTGGGAGAACTTTAATTAGATAGGTCTGTAAGTGGAGGAAATTGTTTCCTCCCTAACCTTGAAGCTTTGGCCTCTATCAATCGCAGGCAGGTGACTGAAGAAAACCTGTTGTGTGTCAGTAGGCCTGGGGCTGTTTCCCAGAGAGGTGCTATCTATCTGGCTTTCCCAAGGGGCATTTGTGGGCCAAGTCTGAGGTTACCTTCTGCAGGTCATGCAGGCAGATCCATACGGGCTTGTTTCTTTGACAGCCACCTATGTACGTTGCTATGGTGTTGGCTTCCTTTAAATAAAGGATAGATGCCAGGTGGGTTCCGTTTCCATACGACTGACACTCGAGCTGAGGGCAAGGAGGAGATGTGAAATTTAAAAGCACAGCCCACAACCTAAATATCCATCGACAGAGGAATGGATAAAGAAGATGTGGTACGTATACACAATGGAATATTACTCAGCCGTAAAAAAGAATGAAATAGTACCATTTGCAGCAACATGGGTGGACCTAGAGATTATCATACTAACCGAAGTAAGTCAGACAAAGACAAATATCATATGATATCACTTGTATGTGGAATGTAAAAAATTATACAAATGAACTTATTTACAAAACAGAGATAGACTCACAGAGTTAGAAAACATACTTATGGTTACCAAAGGGGAAAGGGTGGGGGAGGGATAAGTTAGGAACTTGGGATTAATATATACACACTACTATATGTAAAATAGATAACCAACAAGGACCTACTGTATAGCACAGGGAGCTCAATATCTTGTAATAACTTATGAGATAAAAGAATCTAAAAAAGAATATATATATGTATAACTGAATCACTTTGCTGTACACCTGAAACTAACACAACATTGTAAATCAACTGTATTTCAATAAAAATTAGAAAAAAAAGAAAAGCACGGCCCTCACTTCAGAACCCTAGAGCACCAGGCAGCATGGGCACACACAGCCCCTGTCTCCCCTTGGGATCTAAGCCCCACAGAAGACTTCCTGTCGCCTTGGGAGAAAACACAACTGTCACAGGTGTCAGGCCTCAGAGGGGGAGCCAGCTTGAGGCAAGGGCATGAGCTTTAGGGTCAGTGGAAGTGCCTGGGGTCCTGGTCTTGCCTGTTTTTAGTGTATGTGACCTTGACAGGTCACTTCACCTCTCTTCCTTATCTGTAAATGGAGGAGATAATTAGGGCTACACAAGGGAGTTGTTTGGAGGATAGAATTGTTATAATTTTATATTATAATACTGCACTTCAACAAACCTAAGAAACCACTGACTGTAAAATGTGCTGTTCTCTAACAAGACACTGACTGCCCAAATAAAGAAATCATTTTATATATGCACATTTTATAGCTAGACAGAGATATATACTTTATGCTCTTTTGGGGTTGTGTTACAGGATCTGCCTACATAATAAAACAAATTAATTTAATAAAAACAGGTTTTGGCTGTGGTCGCTACTCTCATGTTTGCCTTTGAACTTGCTCAGGATTAGATGTGGTGACTGCTTAATGATAATTTACCAACCAGTTGATAATACCAGAATGTTTTTATACCCATAATTTCTTTTTTTAATTTTAATTTTATTTTTAACATCTTTATTGGAGTATAATTGCTTTACAGTGTTGTGTTAGTTTCTGCTGTATAACAAAGTGAATCAGCTGTATGTATACATATATCACCATATCTCCTCCCTCTTGAGTCTCCCTCCCACCCTCCCTATCCCAGGCCTCTAGGTGGTCACAAAGCACTGACCTGATCTCCCTGTGCTATGCGGCTGCTTCCCACTAGCTATCTATTTTACACTTGGTAATGTATATATATCAATGCCACTTTCTCACTTCGTCCCAGCTTACCCTTCCCCCTCCCTGTGTCCTCAAGTCCACTCTCTATGTCTGCATCTTTCTTCCTGTCCTGCCCCTAGGTTCTTCAGAACCTTTCTTTTTTTTTTTTTTTAAGATTCCATATATATGTGTTAGCATACGGTATTTGTTTTTCTCCTTCTGACTTACTTCACTCTGTATGACAGACTCTAGGTCCATCCATATACCCGTAATTTCATTTGACTTTTAAATTTGTGACGCACAGAAGCTGGATTACCAGTCACCGTGTAGTGAGTGTACCAGTTACAAAAGATTCCTGGGACAGAAGAGGCAACAGGCTCCTTCTGTTTAAATGATGTTTCCCTTTCCTGTCAGTTCACACAGTTAGAACTAAGAGCGCTGCCTCTTCGGTTCAAGATCAGGTCTTCCTGATCTTTTAACTGTCACCTCCATCACCTCCAGGAGTCTTGTGACCTAAGATGCCAGCTAGGAACCAAGGAGCACAGCAGCCGTGGTGTCAATTTCTCTGGTCCTTCCTGGCACCTTCTCTGCACTCTGGTTCAGGAGTGGTTAACTCTGCTAAGGCTTGGTATCAATCATGTGGATCGTTTTTGCCTTGAAAACCTGAATTGAGCATCCACCGTGTGCCACAGGCTTTTTGCAAGTTCTTTTCATGAATCCTCCCGACAACCCCATGGGATAAAAGTGTTATTCCCATTTTACAGAAGAAAACTGGTAAAGCGAGGTATAGCTGCAACTAATGTGTGGCAGAGCGTGATTTAAACTCAGGTCTGTGTTATTCCAAAGCCCCCCAGATGTCTTCCTCTTTGTTTTGGTAGAATTAGTGTTGGACTCTCCAGGGACAGGCAGTACAAACCTCTGTCCAGGATTTCTCCAAGTTGCTTCCCAAGAACTGAGGAGAAGTCCACCGCTGTCCATGAGCTTTTTCTTCTTTCAGTGGACGGAATCCGGGAGGCCCTTTCTGTGTTTGGCTCTTTTTTTATTTTTTGCTATCATTCACACCTGCTTAGGAAAGCATTGCATTGGGACCAACTTCCCTGGGTTTGCTCTGCTGGTTATTCTCAGTGTAATCTTGGGAAAGTCGCTTATGCTCATACTGCATTGCAATTTTTTGTTTAAATGTCACAATCTTGCATCAGTTCTGCACTTTTTAATTTAATTTTATTTATTTACTTATTTTATTTAGTTATTTTTGGCTGTGTTGTGTCTTTGTTTCTGTGCGAGGGCTTTCTCCAGTTGCGGCGAGCGGGGGCCACTCCTCATCGCGGTGCGCGGGCCTCTCACTGTCGCAGCCTCTCTTGTTACGGAGCACAAGCTCCAGATGCGCAGGCTCAGTAGTTGTGGCTCACGGGCCTAGTTGCTCCATGGCATGTGGGATCTTCCCAGACCAGGGCTCGAACCTGTGTCCCCTGCATTGGCAAGCAGATTCTCAACCACTGCGCCACCAGGGAAGCCCAGTTCTGCACTTTTTAAGGCCAGGAAATATCTTTGCATCCTCAGTAGCTATCACATGATAGGTGCTTTCTCATTCTGAGTTATTGATTTACAGGGATTCTGAGGCCATTCTGGGCCCAGATCACACCCCTTTTCCCCACACAGCTCCCCGGTCAGTCACTTCAGTTTAACAACCACAATTCAGAGACACAGCAGCACGACTCCCAACACTCTGAGGTAACTTATTCCGACTGGCTATGTGGGTATGTCTTAGAAAAGCCTCAGTGAAATAAAACCAGTACATTTGTTGGGTTACGGAGAGAGTGAGGCCTTGCATTTGTCTGGAATGCTTCGCTCTCCGTCAGGTGGCTCTGAGGCTGTCTACACACGGCTCTCTTGCTGGTAAATCTTGTATGGCAATCCAGTTGTGCTTTCTGTAATTTCCTCATCTCATCGTCCTTGGATTTATGTATTTCTGTCTTTCTCCCTGACAGTGAACTCCTTGAGGGCAGGCTGTTCCTTGCTCATCCTCATGTCTTTGCAGCCCATCCAGGGTCTGGGCCTGTAGCACATGCTCCACCAATGCTTACACAATTAAAGGGGTTGAGCACATAACCCTCTACTCTCCATTTCACCAGCCAGGTTACTTCTCAGGATGCCAAGGAAGGACCCTTGGCTCTGAGTTGAATGATACCTGGAGCTTTGGGTGGCCCCTTGCTTTAGAGAAGCCTCTCCAAGCAAGGGCCAGATTTCTTACCTCAGCATCAGACCAGTTCTTCAGCTTCTGGAAGTATCCCTATAGCAACAGGACTTGTAGTAAAACCACCCAGTAGCACAGCTATGTCCCAGGATGATGGCTGCACACAAGCAAAGGGCAATTACAAGTTATGATGGCAAAAAGAAGCAATTCCCACACTTGAGCCAGTTTAAGACCTGGCTCCCCTTGAACGGAGGGAAGGCTATCTTTATACTGTTAATCTCTCTCGTAGCCTTCTCCAGAGAGGACTATGGGCTTTTGCCAGAGTAACTGTGCATTGGGGGAAAGGAGGCAATCAGCTCTTTGAGGATTACTGGACACTGGCTCTGAACTGACACTAATTCCAAGAGACCCCAAACATCACTGTGGTCTGCCAGTCAGGGTAGGGGTTTATGGAGGTCGGGTGATCAATGGTGTTTTAGCTCAGGACTACTTCACAGTGGACCCAGTGGGTCCCCAAGCCCATCCTGCAGTAATCTTCCCGGTTATGGAATACATAATTGGAACAGACATCCTCAGCAACTAGCAGAATTCCCACACTGGTAGCAAGATCAAACAGCTATAATTCAAGACCTCACAAGAGTGGATGAGGGGCATAAATTGGTAGTTTTAGGTATTACAAGGAGGGAGTGGTGTTTTGGCTAGGGGGACGCAGGACAGGTTAGATGGCAACTTGGCTGGAACTTGAGAATGGGGGGCTGAAAGTCAGTAGCAAGGGGAGGGGGACATTTTAGGCGAAGGGGGCGGATGAGCAGAGGAATGGTGGCAGCAAGAGCAAGCACTTACGTTTGCCTTAACTGTAGGGCATCTGGCAAGCAAGCACTGTAGAAGAGAAGGAGACATTCAGGGCCCAGAAGCCAGAGAAGCTATGATCAAGAAAGGCACAAGCTCCTCTGGCTAGTGGGTTGGTGAATGGGCCACATCACTGAAACTGAGGTTTCTGAAGAAGCGGAGATGTCTGGAAACACAGAGGGCCCAGATGATGAAGGGGATGCCAAGCTAGGAAATTTGGACTTTGTGCCAGTGTGACTGCACTCCAATGCTCTTGGTGGGTACAGGGGTCTTTCCACCCCCAGTGCATGTTCACAGACATTTTTGTGGTCACATAGCATTTCCTCTCTCCCTACTGAGATGACACTGTTGTCACTTGCTTGCCCCACTCTTCTGTTCTACTTCATTCCTTGCCTATAAATCTCCAGGGGCTTCCTGTTGCTCTCAGATAAGCTCTCCGCCCAGTTTGACATTGAAAAGCGCTCACAACCTGGTCTTATGGCCCTATTGAGACGCAGCTTCTGGTGCAGAAGCCTCAGCTCCATCTTGGAACACGACGCTCATCATTGACATAGATCCTTTGCTTGTGCTATGCTTTGTACCTGTGAATGGTGGACATTGACTAACCCAGCTGAGGCACAGCAGGCAAGGTTTCAAGGTGAAAACAGCTCTTTTGCCCCTTTCCTGTTTGCCCATTTCTGTTCCCCTTTAACCTTAAAAGAACTTAATTAGAGGAATGAGCTCACTAGGCAATTTAACCTAACTCCTGACTTATGCTCTCTTGAATGCACACCGTGTCTTGTCTAACTTGCTGATTCTTTTCCTAGATAAAAAGAAGTAAGAAGTAAGGAAGCAGTTAAAAAATGACAAGCTCTCTATTCTCAACAGTCCCCTTAGCAATCCTGCAGTCTGACCACGCAGGCAAGGTAACATCTGAAGAGTCAGCCAGTCTGCAAGCAATGGGGAATGATGCAGAATCCAACTTCCTGTGTCGACGATTCATTGAGATTCTTCCTCATTTTCCTCCTTTAAAAACTGTCATGGCTGAGCAGAATCTTCAGAGTTGGTCTCTGGACACAAGTCCACCTTCTCCCTAGATTACTGGCTTTTCTGGTTAAAGCACCTTTCCTTTCTACTGACGCTTGCCTCTCGAATTATTGGCTCCTGTGCAAGAAGCAACCAAACCTGGGTTTGGTAACAAAGTGGTACATCAAATGTACTAGGAACAAACAACATAGACACTCATGTGCTTAAATACCTCATCTTCTACTACCTTCAGAAATACAAACATCATTTGATGTTAAATAAAAAGAACGCCTTTATGCTGAGACAGGCTGGGATCTGGGACCCTTTGCTGTGGTGCTGCAATGCTTGCACCTGGACACACCTCTCCTCAAGCAACAAAATACAAAACTGCTGTATGGGACAAACATAACTGCGTGCATGCTCAGCTGGTGCAAATTATGGACAAAAGATACAAAGAGACCAAAAAACCCAACTGCCACTTTTGAAGAGCCTGGAGCAAAAGCAGGATGTCAGGAGCAAAAGCAGGGTACTGCACATGGCCCCTGTACACAACACCACCTAAGGGGTGAGCAAAACACCTAAGCCACCCCTCTAGCCCAACCCCTGGACACACCCCTACCCTCACCCCATATAAGGAACAAGCTCGCCCCCACTCAGGGAGCAAGCAAGCAAGGGAAACTGCTGTTTGTTCTCTGCTCCCCCTGCTGCAGCAGGGCCCCTAATAAAGCCTTGCCTGAATTTCTTGTCTGGCCTCTGATGAACTTCTATTGATTAAGGAAGCCAAGAACCCTGGTCAGTAACAATGCCACTGTTGGTACTTCTGCTACCACTATCACCAGCTTCCATGTACAAAGTGCTTTCTTGCTGTCAGGCACTATGATAAGCAGTTTATTCATACTACGTATTTATCTTTTTTTTAAACATCTTTATTGGAGTATAATTGCTTTACAATGCTGTGTTTCTGCTTTATAACAAAGTGAATCAGCTATACATATACATATATCACTATATGTCCTCCTGCTTGCGTCTCCCTCCCACCCTCCCTATCCCACCCCTCTAGGTGGTCACAAAGCACCGAGCTGATCTCCCTGTGCTATGCAGCTGCTTCCCACTAGCTATCGATTTTACATTTGGTAGTGTATATATGTCCATGCCACTCTCTCACTTCGTCCCAGCTTACTTTTCCCCCTCCCCGTGTCCTCAAGTCCACTGTCTACGTCTGTGTCTTTATTCCTGTCCTGCCACTAGGTTCTTCAGAACCATTTTTTTTTTAAGATTCCGTATATATGTGTTAGCATACAGTATTTGTTTTTCTCTTTCTGACTTACTTCACTCTGTATGACAGACTCTAGGTCCATCCACCTCACTACAAATAACTAAATTTTGTTTCTTTTTATGGCTGAGTAATATTCCATTGTATATATGTGCCACATCTTCTTTATCCATTCATCTGTCGGTGGACACTCAGCTTGCTTCCATGTCCTGGCTGTTATAAATAGAGCTGCAATGAACATTGTGGTACATGACTCTTTTTGAATTATGGTTTCCTCTGGGTATATGCCCAGTGGTGGGATTGCTGGGTCGTATGGTAGTTCTATTTTTAGTTTTTTAAGTAACCTCTATACTGTTCTCCATAGTGGCTGTATCAAGTTACATTCCCACCAACAGTGCAAGACGGTTCCCTTTTCTCCACACCCTCTCCAGAATTTATTGTTTGTAGATTTCTTGGTGATGGCCATTCTGACTGGTGTGAGGTGATACCTCATTGTAGTTTTGATTTGCATTTCTCTAATGATTAGTGATGTTAAGCATCCTTTCATGTGTTTGTTGGCAGTCTGTATATCTTCTTTGGAGAAATGTCTATTTAGGTCTTCTGCCCATTTTTGGATTGGGTTGTTTGGTTTTTTGATATTGAGCTGCATGAACTGCTTGTATATTTTGGAGATTAATCCTTTGTCAGTTGCTTCATTTGCAAGTATTTTCTCCCATTCTAAGGGTTATCTTTTTGTCTTGTTTATGGTTTCCTTTGCTGTGCAAAAGCTTTGAAGTTTCATTAGGTCCCATTTGTTTATTTTTGTTTTTATTTCCATTTCTCTAGGAGGTGGGTCATAAAGGATCTTGCTGTGATTTATGTCATAGAGTGTTCTGCCTATGTTTTCCTCTAAGAATTTTATAGTGTCTGACCTTACATTTAGGTCTTTAATCCACTCTGAGTTTATTTTTGTGTATGGTGTTAGGGAGTGTTCTAATTTCATTCTTTTACATGTAGCTGCCCAGTTTTCCCAGCACCACTTATTGAAGAGCACATACCTGTATTTAAATTCTGTTTTCTGCCTCATTCATAATAAATCTTTTAGCTACTTCAGGTCTGGGATCATGCCTACCTCATCTCTATAACCTTATGCTGAGGAGGTTTTAGTGCTAATCTGACCAGTGACCTAAGAAAGAGTAGTTGCTTCCAAACCTGCCCCTTTTCTTCTTAGATGTTTTCTTCTAGAGAACAAACAAGCTCACTCATATCTTTCTTTTTCCCAGACAAAAGCTTCACTTAACTTTTTTTTGTTGCTTGTTTTTTGTTGTTTTTTTGACATTCACCACTTTCTCAGGGAGAAATGTTTTACTTCTTCTCTTGGAAAAATTCATGCTCTAAACCCACTTGAAAGCATCTTATTGTCATCTATGTGATGATTCTACTTTGCTTCCTAAGAAACTCCTTCAAGTGGAAACATGCACACAGATATATCTCTATAGATGGATGGTACATTGCTGAAAAGAGAAATGTGGTTAAAAATGTTTAGATCAAAGTGAATTTTCTGATGGAAAGTAGAAATATGACCTCTTGACATATATCCACAAATATTCAGTAAGCACACATCAATTCATGACACACTAGTACAAATGCCCCATAAGATTTTCTGTGATGATTGATATGTCCTAAAGTGTGCTATCAGTGCAGTAGCCACTAACCACATATGGCCATTGAGCACTTGGAATATGGCTAGTGAAAATGAAGAGTTGAATTTTTAATTTTATTTAATTTTGTCAATTAAATTTAAATTTAAACAGCTACATGTGGTTAGTGGCTACCACACTGGATAGGAAAGACCAAGAGGATGGGAGTGGATTTCTTACAGAAGCAGATTGATATGAAACAAAAGAGAATTTGTTCTTATTTTTGAGGGAGCTTAGAAACGGAGTGCAACTTTGTAGAAGTAAGTCCTGAGAACTTGAAGGAAATGTGAGAAGTATTGGAGGAAAGCTATAGAACTTGGATTTGAGTCAAATTTAATTAGATCACCAAGCTGACACCTAGGTTACACTTCAGTTAGAAATCTTCATCATATCTGCAGGATGTTTTCTGACTCCAGTTTCCCTGATTGAACCTTGGATGGCAGTGATCCTTTGTCTTCTTCTTCAAATGACCAGTGAACTCCATTTTGAGTTGAATAGTAGAGCTTTTCACTGCTACATCATTTGAGGTCAAGCAAAAATTGTCTCCAGCTTTAGGATGACAGGAACTCACCTACTACCCATTTTAACTAATAAAGAGTTTCATACTTTACCCTTGGTGCCTACTGGAAGTTTATTGAAAAAGTCAGTTACTTTGTGAGAGGGCAGACAGCAGAAGCAAGAAGAACTACAGTCTTGCAGCCTGGGGAACAAAAACCACATTCACAGAAGATAGACAAGATGAAAAGACAGAGGGCTATGTACCAGATGAAGGAACAAGATAAAACCCCAGAAAAAACAACTAAATGAAGCAGAGATAGGCAACCTTCCAGAAAAAGAATTCAGAATAATGTTAGTGAGGATGATCCAGGACCTCAGAAAAAGAATGAAGGCAAAGATCGAGAATATGCAAGAAATGTTTAACAAAAACCTAGAAGAATTAAAGAACAAACACCTAGAGGAATTAAAGAACAAACAAACAGAGATGAACAATACAATAACTGAAATGAAAAATACACTAGAAGGAATCAATAGCAGAATAACTGAGGCATAAGAATGGAGACACAGATATAGAGGAAAAATGTATGGACACCAAGGGGAGAAAGTGACAGGGGTGGGGTGGTGGTGGTGTGATGAATTGGGAGATTGAGATTGACATATATACACTAATATGTATAAAATGGATACCTAATAAGAACCTGCTGTATAAAACAATAAATAAAATTCTAAAATTAAAAAAAAAAGAGGAATGGATAAGTGACCTGGAAGACAGAATGGTAGAATTCACTGCCATGGGACAGAATAAAGAAAAAAGAATGGAAAGAAATGAAGACAGCCTAAGAGACTTCTGGAACAGCATTAAACACAACAATATTCACATTATAGGGGTTCCAGAAGGAGAAGAGAGAGAGGAAGGACCTGAGAAAATATTTGAAGAGATTATAGTCAAAAACTTCCCTAACATGGGAAAGGAAATAGCCACCCAAGTCCAGGAAGCACAGAGAGTCCCAGGCAGGATGAACCCAAGGAGAAACACACTGAGACACATAGTAATCAAACAGGCAAAAAC